AATTAATCAGTGGAACAGAAGTTGCCTCCAGAAGTTGTGAATGCTCCAACACTGGAGGCTTTTAGGAAGAGGTTGGATAGCCATTTGTCTGAAATGGTATATAAGGTCTCCTTGTGGTCATAAATCAAGGACTATCTCTAGCAGTCCACGTTCTTTCTAAATACTTGGTTCGGAGAGCGTAGATGAAAACAAGGAATACTAGAACTCACCATCTCCTGGTGATTGGACCAAATTCACCCAGTCGACTTTAATGCCTAAGGGAGAACTAGAACTCACCATCTCCTGGTGATTGGCCCAAAGTCACTCACTGGTTTCCATGCCCAAGGCAGTACTAGAACTCACCCTCTCCCGGCACCTTAATCGCGAAGCCAGCCCTGCCTTCAACTCCTGTGACTCTCCGGTTTTCAGGCCCAGTGGTCACTCTGTAGTCCACGAAAATCCTGCCTCACTTTCCCCCCCTGTGTGTTTTCGGCCCCTAGACATCGATGCTCGTCCTTGGGACTTCCAAGCCGAAGAATGCAGTTTACGAGCCCACATTGAGTCCTTTAATAGCCGGAGATACGACCGGATCCGGGACGCTGAATTTTCTCCGGTCGACAACTGCCTCCAGAGCGTGCTGGGACAACCGTTAGAACTGCCCGAAGATTTCCGCTACTCGTACGAACTCTGGCTCGAGAGAGAAGTATTTTCCCAGCCCATTCACTGGGAAGAACTGCTGGGCTACCAGTGATGGGGGGGGGACGGGATTCGAACTCGGCGCTTCGGCCGACAAGTGCTACATTTGGTGGGGGGAAGAGGAAGGGGTTTTTTTTTCTTTCTTTGTGGATATCTTTCCACAGGGAATTACCTGCTAGAAGTTGTGAAAAAGAATTATTTTACCTTCCCAAGCCTCTCCTCCTTTCCCCTCAACGTTATCGGTCTGTAAGCAAAGAGAAGTTTATTATTATTATTATTTTTATTATTATTATTTCCGTCGTTTTCCCTGATCCAGGGCACATGATATATATTTAAATATCCTATAATGGTGGTTTTGAATGAAGGGGATTCTGTACAGTGCTGGTGTGCAACCTTGACTTTAAGATCCGTGGACTTCAATTCCCAGAATTCCCAAGCCAGGTAGGGAATTCTGGGAGGAAGATTCTGGCTGGGGAATTCTGGGATTTGAAGTCCACAAGTCTTAAAGTGGCCAAGATTGGAAACCCCTGCTGTGTGCATCATATCTCTCTTTGGTTGCTATTATAAATATTTTCTATGAGTAAGATACCTGGGCAAACATATATCTGTAAGCCAAGTCATTTCTCTCACTACGGACAATCTATTGCTGATTCCATCAAACATTTCAGCAAAATCCCCCCCCCTCCCCATTTGTATTTCATATCCACCTATAATAATCTTCAACTAGAAAACAGTATTCATAGAATAATTTTTCAGGATGAATTAGGGGGCATTTGCGTGTCTCCAATACATAAAAATATATTGGAGATGTGCAAATTATATACCAAAAATATGTAAAAAGCACTGTGCAATTTTCTTCCATCTTCCCCGGGCATATATTCCAATAATTTTTCCCCAAGCGTTGCAACGCTGCATTAAACTGATGTTTGCAGAAGGTTTGATGCATTTTCGAATCAAAAATGCATCCAATGTTCAGTTCTTACCTGGTTTGAAAAAGAAAACGCGCATGATTTTAAAAATCGTAGCGGCATGCAAAATATTTACTAAAGGGCACCGCACAATAATTGTGTTCATAGTGGCTTTTCAGGAATGCATTCAGATCCCTCCCTACACGTGTTCTCTCTTTTATTCCTGCGATGTGACAATGTTTGAAGCATGCCAGGCCCCTTTGCTTGCGTCTTCACGCTTCGAGGATATGTTTGCACATCCCTAAACCTGCTCTTCCGGCGGCGATAACACGGGTTCTCACATGAACTGCTTCATGCTTTGTGTGTGTTTGTGCCACGAACACGGGTAGCAAGAAGGAGCAGAAGGGTATCAGGCACGCTTGTACTCTGACATGCTTGAATTATGGCTAATGTGCGTGACACACTTTTATCGGTTTAGTAACATGGCAGCAATTTCTCTTTACAATACAAAGAAGAAGATTTTACTTTTTTTCATTCTGAAAAGGACATTTTTGTCCAAAAGCTGGACAGGCTGCATTTTCCAGGCACACACACACAAAAAAGCCCATCATTTATGTAACATTCTACCTAAAGAAGGAAGCAGATGCAGTGATGAATATATTTAGCCACTTGGTAAATACGTGGCCTTAAAATTTCCCAGTTCACCGAAAGCCAGATGCGCACTTTATCCATTCTGGGAAAGTTGTCTGCATAAAGACAAAAAAATAACTAAATATCATTTTGTTTGCAATCTTATTTTGGAGCAGGCGTTCGGAAAACGAAAAATATGTGATTTTAAAAATTGTAGCGGCATGCGAAAATATTTGCTCTGTGGCCCCCGCACAATAATTGTGTTGATAGTGGCTTATCGGGAATGCGTTCAAATCCCCCGGTTATTCTTTTATTCCTGCAGAGTGAAAATGTGGATTTCGTATTGCATTCACAAATTATTTTTTACGGAAGCGTGTGTGTATTATCCTAAGCACGAGGTATAAGGAAGAATAAAAATCTTAATTCTTAAAAACTGTTTTAGTCTTTAGATTATTTAATGATATTTAAATGTTTGTTACAGACACCCAGAAAACCAGGATTTTCACCGTAATAGTGAGAGAGCATTTGAAGCTACAGGAAAAGCTTTCCGGGCAAGTTTGAAATGTTGATTTAATGTACTGTGAAATTAAATGGATTAAAACAGGGATGTATTATACCGCAAAGCAATAACCTCAAGAGTAACTGTAGTACAAATGCATTTTGTAGTAAAAAAATAAATGAAGAAATTAATTTTTCTTTCCTTCCTTCCATCCATCCATCCATCCTCAAAGTCTACTTTTCCCCTTCTGCCTTAACATGTTTTTTTAAAAGCTGTAAAATTAATGTGCCAGATGGCAGCACCTCTCTCTGCATAAGGCAGCCAAACCATACTGAAATTCAGATTATCAGATCAGCCAAACCTTCTTCCTTGCCCAGCCTGTCTGTAAATGTGGTTTTTAATGAAATAAGGACAGCCTTATCTTTAAAAAGCCATTACCCTCTGGGAAAATTACTATATTTAGGAGATAGGATTATGTGTTTATCAAACCACCTCCGTGGCATTTTTTAAAAAAATTTGTTTTAAAAAAATTACTGCTGAGAAGTGTAGGGGGATTTGCAATTATTATTTTTTTGGAAGAAAAGGCTAAGAAGATTTAGCCTCCATCTTAATGCATAGGATATGTCCAGTTCTGACTGCCCCATCGTGAGCCAGCATATGAATTTCTGAAATATCACACAGAAAGGAAGGAAACTGATAAAAAGGAGAATACAGGTAATTCTCAACTTAAAACAGCTTATTTAGTGACTGTTTGAAGTTACAACATCACTGGGGAAAGCGACTTATGACCGTTTTTCGCACTTATGACCGTTGCAGCGTCTCTAATGTCACGTGACCGAAATCCAGCCGCTTGGCAACTGACTCGTATTTATGACGGTTGCTGCTGTGTCCCTGAGCCACGCAATCCCTTTTTGCAATTTTCTGGCAAATGGAGAAGCCAGATTCACTTAATAACTTGCTTTAACAACTGCACAGTCACTTCCTTCACAACTGTGGCAAGAAAGATCATAAAATGGGGTAGACCATTCACTTCACTTAGCAGCAGAAATTTTGAGGTCAATTGTTGCAATTGTGTTTGTCATTCAGGGTTGAACTGCATTGTCCTCTCTGAGCTTGGCTGTTTTTTCCCAGACGTTTTATGACCAAACTAGGTTACGTTATCAGTGGTAGAAGGGAGCAGGGTTTGCTGTGTTTATATACGTGTGTTTGAGTGGATATACATATACAACACACACAACTTGCCCTGTCAGTGTTGGTAGGTATGTTAATCTAGGTGGTTGTATATAAACTTAGATACAAACAGAAAGCCAGGGAATTCTGGGAGTTGAAGTCCACAAATCTTCACCTGGCCAGGCTTGGGCCCACCTGGTTTAAAAAAAACACACACACAATTATTTTGACTGCGCAGGCGCAGGCCTTCTCTTTTCCCCCGCCCCGCCCGGCTCGTTGCCTAGCCACTGAGAGTCGGACCCGCCCCCTTCCCCATGGCAACCGGGGCAGCCGCGGGACAAACAGTCGCCTCCGAAGCCCGCCCCCTCGCCAGAAGCCCCGCCCACCGAGGGCGGTCGTTGCGGCGGTTGCGGCGCTTCGGGGGGGGAGACGCGTGTCTCGCGCAGCACGTGGGGACGGGCCCCGCGGGGTCCTGGTGGCGGCGCCCGGCAGGTTAGGGGGGTCTGGGGGCGAAGCGGGAGCGGGCAAGTGGGGAGGCCGGTCGGCCGGGCTCTTCTTCCGCAGCCGCTTTCCCCGAAGAGGCTCAGGCGGGCGGCGGTGGGTCCTCCGGGGAAGCCCCTCGTCTGAATGCAGGCAGCTGGATTTCCATGGATGCTTCTTTCCTTCCCTCCCTCTTTTCCTCCCTTGTTTCCTTCCCTCCTTTCTTTCCTCTTGTTTTCTTCCTTCACTCTCTATTTCCTTCCTTTTCTTTTTTCCTTCCCTCCTTTCCAATTTTTCCTTCCTTCCTTCCCTCTTGTTCCCTTCCTTCACACATTTCCTTCCTTTTGTCTTTTCCTCCTTTCCAATTTCCCTTCCTTCTCTCCCTCTTTTCCTTCCTTTCCTCTTGCTCCCTTCCTTCACTCATTTCCTTTGTCTTTTCCTTCCCTCCTTTCCAATTTTTCCTTCTTTCCCTCCCTCTTTCCCTTCCTTCCTTTCATTTCTCTCTTTCACTCCCTATTTTCTTTTTTCGTCTTTTCCTTCCCTCCTTTCCAATTTCCCTTCCTTCTCTCCCTCTTTTCCTTATTTTCCTCTTGCTCCCTTCCTTCACTCATTTCCTTTGTCTTTTCCATCCCTCCTTTCCAATTTTTCCTTCTTTCCCTCCCTCTTTCCCTTCCTTTCATTTATCTCCTTCACTCCCTATTTCCTTCCTTTCGTCTTTTCCTGCCCTCCTTTCCAATTTTTCCTTCTTTCCCTCCCTCTTTCCCTTCCTTTCATTTATCTCCTTCACTCCCTATTTCCTTCCTTTCGTCTTTTCCTGCCCTCCTTTCCAATTTTCCTTCCTTCCTTCCTTCCCTCTTG